TGTGGGACACCTTTTTGGTTGCTCCCAAGCAAATATTCACTTTGTGACTGAGGCATGAGGGTACGTCAAAGAATGCGATTTGTTAGTTATCACTAAATATTACACATTGTAACAAAAGTCACGGAAAAGCCAGGCTGTTGTGATATCCTTCGAGGCCTAATGTGAGCGTCAGGGTCTGCTTAAGTTTTTTCAACATTACTATCTTTCGGTGAATATGTGGTAAGTTCATCTCGACAGGGTCACTTGTATGCTACTCTCTACCTGTTATTAGGTAACGCTCAGTTGTCCAATTCTGTAGTCAGCTCTTCCGTTTTCCATGACTCCTTTCTTTTTACACTCTTTTCTCCTTGCTTGTGATTAACTCCATTTTCCCGACACATCAGAGATCATTGAAGCTTTTATTTTGTGAATTTCTACAGTAATACGTTATGTCTAGGTACTCTATGTGTAAGGTTCTATCCACATACGAACTGCTTGTTGACGATTTTCTTTACATAAGGAGCACAACATGTTGTCCTAGGGAATACGCATACCGCTGGGGCGCATGGCTGGTTCATTTTGAAGGCTCCTCTGAAATAACTTGTTCTAGAGAGAAGAGCTATTTGGATTTGTTGTACTCACGTGCATTGACAACCAGATGGCCAACAGTATCGATACGATGGTATCACACCACACATTCCACACGTATCGTTACATTTGGCGCTCGGTTCCGTCATCCATTCCGTCCATGTTCCCGGACATTGTGCTGGCTGTAGGTCATTTTTATGTTGCGAAGCCATTCAACGTAAAAATTGTCTTTACCGGATTGGGCTGACAGAATTTTGCTCCATCGTAACCTAGAGCTGGGTATCCTGAGCAGCATTCTTGTCCAGTAGTGCATGCTGCTTGTCCACACTTCTTTGACTCCGTGGTCTCTCCACTGAAAAAAAATAGCGATGCTGAGGTTTTCCTTACCGAGTAGCTGCTTACGTGCATGGACAACCATACGGTTGCGATGCGCATGTACGATTACGGGTTTGTGTTCCACAGAGTCCACAATCAGATGTACATTTTGACCATTCGGTCCATTGGTTCCAGAGACCGGTTTTTTCTGAAGCGGCAGTTGATCTAGCTCAGTGTGATAAACGAACAAAGGACGTACCGGGATCACAGCACGTGGTCTGTTCTGGATTGAACACAGGCTCAACTGGCAGGGGACCGCAGTAAAAGCTTTTCGATACGGTGTCAACCTTCTTTGTGTAACCAGCACAACAGGTCGATCTCGGGAATAGACAAACAGTCGTCCCGCAAACTTGATTTTCTACTGCATCTCCACTAAAATTTGATGATTGTGCAGGAGGCTTCAAAATCAGAAGTCTTTTACCTGCAGGCACACCCGTATTGTAGAGAGAGGCACTTGCGAGATCTAACTTGTCTTCCACAAGACCCGCAAGTATCATTACATGGAACGTCGATGGTCCATTCACCCCA